CATCTAGTCCATTCAATTCATTTTGAAGATTAGAAAATCAGACTAGAGAGGTGAAATAACTTGCCCAATATCACAGATAAAAAGCAGCAGAGCTGACCAGCCTGCCTCTTCTCCTGGCTCCCTCCTCCTCCTCCCCTCCTCAACCAGTCAGAAGATTCTTCTCCATCCCAGCCCAAGCGGGAGTAAATCTCCACTTTCATTAAGCCAACTAAACATTCAGAGGCATTCACTGGGAAAACATGGGGAAAGGAAACAGAATTCTATATAAATTACAAAGCAACAGACTTACCCAATTCCCGGTTACAAACTGTCCTACCATACAAGTTAGAAACTCCACTCAAGTCCTTCTCCAATGCCTAAATCTAAGACAGAACTGACCCAGGTTTCTTGAAGGCAATGCCAGCAGAGTACAACCATTTAAACAAAATCAAAGGACTCTCAGCACCAGAGCTATGTGACTGCTTCCCAGGGCCACAGCCTCATTCGGATAGGCTTGTCCCTAGGCTGGCTTCAGAGTGATGAATTTTTTGGTGACAACTCTTAAGGATCATCTATTAAGTTGGAGATAGGTTGTAATTTTCATCAGTACTCTCACTAGAAAAAATTACTTGATCCTTAAAGCACAAGTATCTTTACCTATACACTGAGCAGATGTAAAAATAACTCCCAATGGTTTTAAGCACAGAAACCCATACCCAACTTTGGTAAGAAAAGTTCAGTTTTAAGTATCCTACTATTTAAAAGGATGTACTGTATACTGTTTCTAAGCAAATTACCAAGCTGAAATAACTTTCTCATATTTCACAACATATATAATAGACAATGGGGATATTTAATCATATTAACATTTATTTGCGTTGTAGGTGATTAAAAAAAAAAGTAGATGATACTTTCAGGGCACCAAACACGAAACATATCTGATACAGCAATGGCGAAAAATAATGTGAGATTGATGATGTAACATTAAATGTAAGTAATTTAATTAGTAGTAAATTAACAAGTAATTTTAAAATAGAAGTGTTATTTTAAAATAGAGAAGAAATTAGGATAAATTCCTATATAAAAAATACTGTGGAAAAACCTGCCAAAGTCTCAAAAGATTCATCTCCCCTCTTTTCCAGTTTTAAAAAGAAAAAAAAGGTGGCTTATCCTTAAAATAATTTTTATAAGAGACAGGATACCTGGACTCTGGTTTCAGTTCTATTGATGTGACTTAAGGCTATGCACATTTTCTTTTTTTTTTTTAATATCTTTTTTCCCCACTTACATGTAAAAACAATTAATATTCTTTTTTTTACTTTCAGTTTCAAATTCTTTCTCTCTTTCTATCCTCTCTTCCCTCATGAAGAAGGCAAGCAATAGGTTACACATGTGCAGTCATGGAAAGCATATTTCCATATTGGTCATGTTGCACATTATTCTCTAATCAACCACATGACAACTGACCCTACTTCTAACTCAGAAATATCAATGTAAACATTATATGGAAGATAACTTGAAAAGTTTCAAAGAAAGGGAAGTATTGCTGTTTTTCAAAATTACAACTGACTAGTAATAAACTTTCATCAAGCAACTACTTATCACAGAGACAACTAATAACTTAAGGAACTAATAGGGATGGGGCACCTGTGACCCCGAAGCCACATGTGGCCCTATAGATCCTCCAGCACAGCACTTTGACTGAACCCAAACTTCACAGAACAAATCTCCTTAATAAAAGGATTTGTTCTGTAAAACTTGAACTCAGTCAAAAGGCCACAAGGGAGGACTTAAAGGCCACAGGTTCCTCACCCCACTCGGCACGTTAGTCCCAATCCAGTGAAAACTACAAGTATTTAAAAAAGGATATAACTGCAGCAGTTCCTGGTCCTCAGAAAGTGGAAGGACAGAGTTGGAAGACAGAAACATGCTAAGGGCTAGGTTAATTTGTCAGTGGACTAGAACCATTCTTTTCAAATTATGTTTGCTTTAACTATTTTTAATAAGAAAATATGCTGGTATTTCTTGGATCTGTAGGAACTTTACTTTGCAAGCAAATCACCTCAAGCTTTTTGAGAACCCATAAGAGTATCATTATTCACAAATATATAAATCAAAGGATACTAAATTTTCCTCTTGTTGATTCAATGTGCTGGTTAAAAGTTTTGTTTTGTTTACAATGTTTAGCAGCAATTGGTCTTTAAAACAGTTTGATTTTCCTAGGTTTGAACTACTGTATCACTTAACACCAGCAAAGCACTGCAACAAAAACTGACTTTTCCAGATAAGGTTACTTTTATATTTAGCTTCTCCAAGTAGATAATGATTCAAATCTAGAGCAGAAACTATTTCATCCAATCAACAGCTACTTATTGAGTGCCTACTATAAAATAGTACAGTACTGTGGAAAGAGCCCTGAAAAAGGAACGAGATTCTAGTCCCAGTGTTCTATTAATTAGCTGAAGGATCTGGGGATGAATTACATTATCTCTCTAGTCCTTCATTTTTAAACTTAATTCAATGAATATTAAGTAGGTGGCTACCATGTACTGTGATATGATAGTCTTTATCCTCTAAGAATTCATATTTTACTAGGGAGGCAGGATATATACACAATACAAAATATATACAAAGTAAATTAATAAATTGGGGGAGTGGGCTATAAAAGTTCTTCTGTAGTATTTCAGCTAAGCCTTAAATGGAATCAGGAATTTTAAGGGGCAGGTGTTAGGAGGCAGGGCATTCCAAGGAAGGTGAGGGTGGGGGGCAGCCTGGACAAAGGCCCAGAGGCAGGCAATGGAATGGTATGCTAGGGGAGAAGTAAGAAAGGTGTCTAGCCTCCACCCCACCCCCAAGAGATTACTTACAATTAATTCTGTAGAAGTAGAGAATAAAAAGTGTCTCAGGTCATGCCAAATAAGGGAAGAGAGAACATAAAGGAAAAAGCAGTCAAGAATCAAATGCAACAAAGAAGTAAAAAAAAAAAGGATTGGTTTGGGTAATTAGGTTACTGGCAACTTTCAAATGGTCATTTTCAGTCAAGTAGTGCAAAGAGAAGTCAGATTAGCAAGATCTGAAAAGTGAATAGGTATTAATGAAGTGGAAGAAGCCAATATAGATGACACCAAAGTTTGGGTCTGAAGTAAGGAGAGAGAAGGGATGGCAAACTTAACTGGCTGAAAGGTTGAAGGAGTATTTTAAGATAGGAGAGACTGGCGCATGGTTGCAGACAGAAGAAAAAGAGCAACTGGGGAAGGATTTATAGAGACTTGCAGTAAGATTGAAGGGAGGTAGAAGGAGCAGCTGGCTATGGTGAAGTATCACCTCCTCTAAGATAGGATAGGATGAGATTGAGATAATAGACAAAATTTCTTAGGAATGGAAGAGTTGAGTTTAGGTATGGAGCTCATGCTGTATTGCTTTGATCATCTCAGTAAAAAACAAGGAAATGAGAAAAAGACCTGGGTTCTAGTTCCAGTGCTACTAACTAAATGAGTGACTAAGTGATTTACCAGGATCTCTATTTTTCTTTTTCTTTTTTTTTTGGAGGGGGGAGTGGAGGGGCAGCAGCAGGTATGGGAAGCTTTATGAGTCTTCTGAGTTTAGATAGGGTAAGAATGTGCTGCTGCCTTTATGAATTTTAGGAAAGACTTTATGGGCGGCAATTGAGTAGGCCCAAGAAAGTTGGTTGGTAACATTTATTAAGCTCCCAGTACACACCAAGGCACTATGCTAAGCACTGGGAATACAAAACGGCAAAAAGCTCACCATCTAATGAAAAACAGGTAGATTTTTAATAAGTAAAGATTTGGGGAAAGAGGTGTTATGGAAATGGAAGAAGTGTATTCTAGGTGAACAAAAGCAGAAATCTGAAAGCTCAAGATATAATGCACAGTGTACAAATGGGCAGTGTTGAGATAAAGCCTGGAAAAATACACTGAAAGTAGGCTGCAGACAGCCTTGAATGCCAGGCTGAAGAACCTGAATTTTATTTACCAAGGAACCAGTAAAGGGGAAGTGAGTGGAAGAATGATCCAATCCAGTGTTGAGCTTTAGGAATCTGGCAATGGATGGACTGAAGGGCGGGTGCACAGACTGCTTAGCCTGTTAGGACACCACTTCAATAGTACTGGAGAGGGGGTACAGACCTGAATTAGGGAATGGGGGTGGGGGGAAGAAGCCGGCAAAGAAAGGATCTCGGAGACGTCAAGGAACAAGGCTGACTTACAACAGATGTTCAGAGAAGGACTGAGACTGCTGACAACTTTTAAAACGTGGATAACAAGTGATAGTGTCATTAACATAAGTATGGAAGTGAATCTTCAATTTAATTAGGTGAAAACTTTTTGGTTTAAATCGTCAAGATCACAAGCACATGAATCTGTGTAAACGATTAGAGTTTCCGTAGCCTAACATCGCTGCGCGTTAAGTTAAACCAGTTCTTCTCGAGTTCCTAAAGAAGTACTTATTATGATCAAAGGATATTAAAGAGTTGTTGCTCACAATCCACAACTGCCACGCACACGTACACGTTAGGCGCACATGCCCCCGGGGATGCTGGCAGGGAGGAGGGCAGGACTCGCTTCGGACTCCCATACTTACACACACTTTAGAGGCTCTGAGCCAAACAGAACTGAAGTTCTGATCTTTCATTAGGTGGGCTGAGATGCGTATTTAATGTTTTTCGGACCCGAAAACGTCGCCCTCACCCAGCCCTTCCCTGTCATTCCCTCCCCCATGCTACCCCTTCCTGCTGGCTGCTTCTCCCCCGGCAGCATCCCAGCCTCCCTTGCTTTACCTGGGCAGGGCCCCCCCGCCCCCCCGCATCGAGACGTCCCCAGGTGAGTGCCGAGGGGCAGGGGGCACACGCCGATCCCCAGGAAAGAAGGACTCTCCGCCGGGAAGGGAGGAGTACGACTGCCCCCGCTCCTAGGCCAAAGGGGCGCTCCGCCCGCCTCCCCTCTCCCCGGGGGCTCTCAGCGCCCACCCGCTGGCAGGCCCCGGGCCTGGCCCAGTCTCACCTCGGCGCGGGCCGCCTCGGGCCCCTGAGCCTCGGCCGGCTGCGGCTGCAGCTGCTGAAGAGGTGCCGGGGGCTCCTTGTTCCGGCTGCCGGCGTCTTCCTCGGGCACGGCTTGGACCCCGAGCAGGGTCAGCAGTAGCAACAGCAGCAGCAGCGGCGGCGATGGGAGAAGCAGCGGCTGAGGAGACCCCCGACGGCCCCCCAGCGCCGCCATCCCGCCGGCCGAGAGAGCCGACGCACCAGGAGGGCGAGGAGAAGGAAGTGGGGCAGGAAACCTGCGGCCCGGGCAGCCGCGAGACTGCGCAGGCGCGCCCGGCTAGAGCGAGGCCGGCGCCATCCGGGTGAGGAGCCGGGAAGAGGAGGAAGGAGGCTGGGAGGAGGAGCGCGGGGGAGGGGAGAGGGAGCGAAACTGACTTGGGAGAGCCGGAGGACCAGAAGGCGACTCCCGAGGCCAAGCGCGCCTAACAGTCTAGAGGCACAACTCGAGCGCCGACTCCGCCCGCAGCAACGCACGCGGCCCCAGCCCCGGGGCCGGCCGCCCATTGGCCGGGGCGGCGCCCTGGCGTCATGACGTCGCGCAGCCAGGTTCAGGTGCGTCCCGAGCCCTCCTCCAATTGGCCTCGCACCCGACCGCCCAACTTGGTCACCGGGCAGGTGGCTGGGAAGGATACCTTTGCCCATCCCTCCTTCTTGTCCCCCGCCCCCATCCCCTTGCAGTGGAATCCACCTGGAACTCTTCCTCTCCAAGGCCAGCATCTGCTCCGCTCCATTCTTCTGCATTTTTATGAATCTGGCCAGCCTCCATTCTCATTATCACCTAATTACCTAATCCGTAATTGTTTTAGTAAGTACCCTGGTGAGGTGGTAGTAGCACTAATTTTCACCACTTGCCCTCCCTCCCTTCCCCAGCACTGATTCATTCGTTGATTAATGAATTCATAGTGTATTATTAAAGTACTACTTACATGCATAGCGCCTAGAACAGGAAAGAATAAACTAGACACAGTTGTGGAATGTATGAGCATGACATACAAATAAAATGACACATGACATACCTATAACCTAGGCACCGACTTAAGTGCTTTGTGAGGTCTGGGTAAGGAATTTTAGTTACTCAATACTTAGTAACTTTAGTCAGGATCATTGACAGCTTAAAGAGGGAAAAGACCTCAGTCTGAACATTCCTTGTGATGTGTTTCTGAGTAAGTCAGCCTCTCTAAGACTCCATTACTTCATTTATAAAATGGAGATAACCTAACAAGGCTGTTGTGAAGATCAAACAAATGTATATATGTATATGTGTATGTATATATGTATATGTTTGTATTAGAATGTGTATATACATGAACATAATGAAAAATAGGTAGGTTTTTAATAAAACCTTTAATAAAGATTTGGGGAAAGAGGTGTTATGGAAATTGGAGAAGTGTATTCTAGGTGAACAAAAGCAGAAATCTGTATATGTATGTATATGTATAAATCATGTATAACTATATGTGTATGTATCTATATATGTCTAAAGATACACATGTATATGTGTTGTATGCATATCTGTATACATATACATGTATGTGTATATAAATATATTAACATAACCATTTGCAAACATTAAAGCACTATGTAAAAGTCACTATTACCATTATTCATGGTAACTTTTGCCTTAAGGTTTAATCTGATAAAAATGAAAGCTGAGGACAGTCCATATACAAGGAGCAAAGGCAAGTGAACTAAGATAAGGAGGCTGGCAAGTTAAACAGGATCAAAATATTAACTACTCCTTCACCAGTTCCTACGTACCTACGGGGATAGGGAGAAGGGAAGGTGAAAAACAAGGTCTGTGTACATTCTTAACAGGCTCTTTAGGCCTGTAATGTTTGGGGGGAGATTCCCCCTACTGGATAGTCGGAGATTGTTTTTGGAAGAACAATGTAAAAACAATGCTATTTCGATTATAATTTGAATAACTATGTTATTCTGGTTACATCTTCACTTTCCCTATCGTGTGACAGAAATCATCACAGACACCGTGTGTTGTAATGGAAATAACATTGAATTCAGAGTCAGAAAACGGGCATTTGAGTTCTGGCTTTGAGACTTACTGTACCACCTTGAGCAAATCACTTTAACTGTGAGCCTCAATTTCCTCATCTGTAAAATAGGTATATCTGCTCTACCTAACTTTCAAGGATATTGAGGGGATTAAGTGACAGCATGGATGTGATAACTATAAAATGATAGATAAATGTCATTTCATGACTTTATGAAATAAATTGCAGCTTACATTTTAGCTTTTTTGTTTTTCATTATCACTTATGAATTAAACACTTATGGTACCATCACTTATATCATATTGGAGAGGTTGTCATTGCCCTTAACCCACCTAACAGGCCAGCACTGTCCTAGTCACACTGACAGCAGAATTTGCAAAAGCCACAACTTCCCTGACCTCCTGTTCTGACCTTAAATTTCATCAATTGATCCGCCCATACTTGTATAGCTGTGTGGCAGAAAAATCCATAGCTATTCTCTTGGGGCTCTACCCAGAAAACAGGCTAATCATAGGGTGTGACAGGCTGTGGGTGTTTGGGAAGGCATAAATCCAATCTCTCAAACCTATTTCCTTTAAGAACTTCACCCCATTTCATGCACATTCCAACAGGGAGCTGGCTATGATGTGAATTTATTTTTATGGGTCCATGTATGAATAACTTCTTATCTCAGCCACCTAAAAAGGGACACAGGACAGTCGACAGCCAGAGGCTCTAATGAATTTACCTGAATATAAATGAAAATCCTCAGCTGTGGAAAGCATCTCAGCTCTGTCTCTGTTAGACCAAACCCTCAGGAGCCATTGTTCTGGTGACTCATCAGATATCTGTTTGAATTTCTGAAACCCCTCCAGTTCCTTGCTGGAAGCAGTCATAAGAAAATTCTGGGGACTTTTTTCCACTAGTGGAAATTGCTAACTCTGTTCCTCATATTTGTTACTCCTCCTTTCTCATGGCTCTAATCTCAGTGGAATTAGAATCTCTGGAAACAGAACCTCTGGGTCAAACATTGTGTGGTAGGTTCCCAGTCTCATTAGGAAAGCATCCTTCACTTGCATGGACACTAGCTCCATTTTCCTCCCTCTTGGCTTTCATTGCATGGTCCCTAAAAACTGAAAACTGTCTCAAGTTGCTGAATGAAGGCATGGAGCCAGTTCACTTTCATTCAGTCAGTGAACAAGCATTTATTAAATATCTACAGTGTGCTAGACATTGGGGACAGAAAGAAAGGCCAAAGACAGCCCTTTCTCTCTCTTTTTTTTTTCTTTGGTTTTTGGTGAGGCAATTGGGGTTAAGTGACTTGCCCAGGGTCACACAGCTAGTAAGTGTCATGTGTCTCAGGCTGGATTTGAACTCAGGTCCTCCTGACTCCAGGGCTGGTGCTCTATCCATTGTGCCCTTACTCTCAAGGAGCTCTCAGTCTAATAGGGAAGACAACATATAAACAGCTATCTACAAAAGATATATATCTATAGCAGACCAACTGGCTGTAATTAACTGAAGGAAGGTGGGGCTGAGAAAGGCTTCTTGTAGAAGGTGGAATTTTATCTGGAATTTGAAGAAATTTGGGAATTTGGGAAATGGAGATGAAGAGGGAAAGAATTCCAGGTATGGGGGACAGCCCACGGTTAGAAGAGTAATTGACTTGTGTAAAGAACAGCCAAAAGGCCAGTGTTTTCAGATTGCAGGGTATGTGAAGGTGACAAGGTATAAGAAGCCTGGAAAAGTAGGAGAGGGCCAGATTCTGAAGAGCTCTGAAGGCCAAACAGAGGATTTTATATTTGATCCTAGAGATCATGGGGAGCCACTACAGCTTATTAAAGAAGGGGATGACACAGTCAGACTTGTACTTGAGGAAATTCAGTCTTATTATTCTGTCAGCCCACCTTGTGTAAGAGGGTCAACAACAACTAGAGAATGCTGGAATTGGAGCTTCCTTTACTGTCCTTCACCACAGCATCTAGCACCCACAGAGCTAATTGCTCAGTGTGAGACTGAGACTGCTTCCTGTCCCATTGAGAGGACTCCCCATAGGTGATCAGAAGGGCTCAGTGTCTGGTCACCTGATTATTCAGCCCTTCTGCCCTGCCCCCAACTCAAACAGGACATGAGCCACAAAGCTATCTCATCTCAGCTACTGGTGACACCCTAATGCTAGCACCTTCTCAGTTCAGTTTCACTTAAGGTACTTTTAAGTCATGGAACAGTTAACAATAGAAGGTTTATTTGCCCAAAAACAATGCAACAAGGATACCATGGCATTTCTCTCCCATAGACCTTTCCATATGGAAATATATTTGATCAGCCGGATAACTCCTGTGGTCTTCAGACATCTAGAGTGGCCTTAACTACATGTAGGTGGGCCTTTAAATTCCTTAGGAGACCAGGGAGCCCAAAATGGAGGTAGGGGCCAATCAGATCCTAGGGACAGTTTTCTTGCCTTTTAGAGAAAACTAATCCTTGTTTCAGGTGTTAATCTAACATTACCCATAGGGGCTGGAGTATATAATACTCCCTATTCCATACCCCCGTATACAGCTGGCCTCTGGTGAGAGCAAGTTCCCTTTTCTTCTGTTCATTGGCTCATTGCAATTGGCTCATTCCTGGTGTTCTGGGGAAATGAATTGGGTAGGGGGGAGATTAAAAAAAGTACTCAATGTACAATAAGAGTGCATTAGTGGACAGGTCATTTATTCCTACACACACACACACACACACACACACACACACACACGGCTAAAAGTAAAAAAAAAAACCCAATTCACAAGTACATATTAACACAATATGATTCACAAACCTTTAACTACTGGCACAATTTGTGTGGAAGATGTTACCCAAGCTTCAGAGTGAACATAAAGCAGTTTCTGGGATTTCTGATAAAGCATTTTGCATATGCAGAGCTTGACTCTACCCTATTACTCCTCTCTGAGTCCTGACCTCTTCTGAACTAGCTGCTTCATTTGCAGCTACTGATTGTTCATGCATACTCAGCAATCTGATGCTCACTATGGCTTTTCTTATTGGACCCTGGACCTTTCAAACTCACCAGGTTGCCTGCAGTCCTGGCTATATCCGCCTTCAGATTGCTGGTTGTTCACCTACTCAGGAAAGGAAACCCAAGACCAAAAAGACTAGCAGGGGCCTAAGCACAAGCTCACCTAGCTGAGTCCATATGGAGAAG